TAATAGCAAGTGTTTTTCTCCTTAATACTTGGAGGTCAGAAAAGATGGGAAAATAGAGCTCTAAGGAAGAGATGGGACAGTGGGTTTAGATGATCTTACCAATCCTTTCCAACCGTAATGATTTTATGGTTTTATAGGTGGGACAGTGTCAGTAGGAGCTGGGGATGGCGGTGCATTTGGTCTGTGCAGCCCCACAGCCAGGCTACAGCACTGGGCTCCCTTCTGGGCCACTGAAAACTTTTCACATGATGTTAAAGGCAGAGGCGAGGGACATCAATTTTATATTTTTAAACAAACTGGATATTTAGTGCATGGACTCGTGCCAGCTTCAGGAAAGCCTGCTCGGTGCTTTCCCAGTGTGGTAACCTCTGTTGGCTTGGCTCTGATTGATGCTATTAATATTTCAGAGATCATTTAGGATCTCCGCCTTGGCTGGGCTCCTCACTCAGAGCTGCATGCAGCTGCCTGAGGAGTTTGCTCTCTGCCTGCTGTGTACTGCCCTGCACGTTGTTACCAGGACTCACAAGGTGCACAGAACCTTAGCACATTCCTGATGCAAAGCCCAAAAGGGGCTCAGCATCTCTGTGCTGTGAGCCTCCCTTTGCCATCACACTGGGCGTGGTTTGGCTTTGCAGAGCTGGCTCTGCTGCAGCACTTCCTTGGGGTCACTCTTTAGGATCAAGCTGTAAAGTTGGTGCTCTCCCTTCCTGGCTCATCACCAGGAGCTACATGCAGCCCCACACACCCATCCTGCAGCTCTCCTGCAGGTAACAGAGCTTGCAGGATTGCCCTCAGGTAACGCTTTGCTTGCTCAGTTCTCCCATAGGGTCCCTAAATCCTACCATGGGTGTGGAGCTGGCACACTGCAGGGATGGGGCTCTGACAGCATCAGGAGACAGTGAATCCGTGTGACTGAACCCCAGACTGTGTTTGCTCTGCCTAATTATCAAAAGTATGAGTTTGTTCTGCTAGGTGCACATTATGCCTTTATTGTGGTGTAATTATGCCAGCTGCCTATGTTTAGTGTCATAAAAAGGAATAAAATGCCCATTACCCGCCTAAAGAATTCTTCTTGTGGGTTTTTTTTTATTTTTATTGCTCTGGAGCACACAGTGGGGATATCTTTGATCGGCAATTCTCCATGTAAAATAGCTGGTGAAATACTGTGCTCTCGGAGAGCTCCTCCAGCCAGCAGCAGCCTGTGAAGGCAGCTGGCTGCCAGCCTCACCCGTTGCCTCTGCTCAGTGCCAGCCCGAGCTGCTGGGCACAGTCACGAGCCCACCACGCTGTCACCATGATGCTGTCTCCTGTGGGAACTCAGCTGTTTTCTCTTTTCTGCTCTCCCAGAGCTCCCTCCTTGCCCAGCAGCCCCTCCTTGATCCAAGTGCCCAGAGGAAGGGGCGCAGGGATGTGGGTAAGTGACTTTTGGGGCAGAATGATGTACTGAGGATGTGCCTGTATCCTGAGAGCAACCACTGGTGGCTGAAGGAGGTATTTCTTCCACGGGTGAGGGCTTGCTTTGTGGAAGTGATAGGGGCATTCTGGTGACACACTCTGGAAATAAAATGCATAAAATCCCACATTTTGGAAATGGCTGAAGCCTACTTCTCCTCCTTTGCTTTTAATAGTGTCAGTCTCTGAAAATGGAGCTCATTCACTTCATCAGGAGCAGGAGTGCTCACAACAGATAGCTCTTAGGTCTCTGGTTTGGGTAGATGGCAAATCCATTGTTTTCGTAGAATCATAGAGTCGTTTGAATTAGAAGGGCTCCTAAAGGCTCTCTAGCCCAGTTCCCGTGCAGTGGACAGGAACTCTTGCAGTTCAGGTGCTCAGAGCCCCATCCAGCCTGACCTTCAATGATGGAACATCCACCATCTCTCTGGACAACCCATTCCAGTGCCTCACTACTCATATTGTAGTTTCAATAGATTCATTTTCCAATTTAGTGGTACCTTCAGCAGATCCCTGATCTTTCCTGCCTAGCCGTGCCTTGCACAACATCCCTTTGAATTCCCTCCGCTTATTTTTCCCATCAGATGTTCCTTGAAGTGGCCTTCACAGCTCCCAGCCTCCTCCAACGTCACTGCCTGTGCGCCGTCTGCCTGCAGCCCCGCCGAGGAACTGGGGATGCTGATAGCAATCATTGATTAAGAGGGTAATCGTCCTGAAAATTCAGATTGATCAGAAGGCAGAAATGATAACTTGTGTAACTGTGTTTAAAACCACATCCTGTCAATAGGGGAGTCGCGAGCAGAAAGCAGGGAGAATGGGATGTTGGGGTGGGAGGGAGCCATTCTTCCTCAGGGTCCGCATCAGGATGTTTCCTGTCACTGACTCTGGGCTATTGGAGATTCAATCACTTTTATCTTCCCCTCTCTCTCAATCCAAATGCCTTTTCGTATTAGAAAATTAGAATCAGCTCTGCTCATGCAAGATTTATTAGCTCTGCTGAGCAATACCACAGAAGAGTAAATGATGTCGCATTTCAGGGGCTTTTTACACATTATGACCAAACTTGCAACTTCTTAAGAATTCTTCCATTGAGCCACTGCGGGGTGTGAAAGGGCTGGGGAGCCAAACTTCTCTCTGGAAACAGGTCTGCACCAGTCTGGGTGTCTCTTCTTTCTTATTTGAATGATTGCATTTGATTGCTAATACGGAGCTTTTCTTTGGGTTCAGTTTCTGTGCTTATTGCTCTGGAAATCAAACTAAGAATTGAGCCTGTTTATCACATGTTCCCTTGGCAGAAAGAGTTTCCAGTGCTAAAATGCATCTTTGGAACTCTGCTTCTAGCTGCCCCTCATTTACATCTGAAAAAGACAAATCCTAATTTCTTCTGGCACCTTCTCCCTTGTCTTTCACACTGGGTGTAAATGATTTTGTACGTGGTTGCTGACCTTTTATCTTACGCAACATGTTTTGTGTAGTGACACCATAGATGGGTTAGAAGGCGGCTGTGAGACTGGAACAAAAACAAGGTCTCATCTCTCCTGGCCATAGGCTTTAGCCCCAGTGCTTCTTTAGGTCTTTCCATTCTGAAATTGCTTTGCAGGCATTAGATCCACGCAGCATCTCGTGGGCTGGCTGCACAGAAGGGTGACTCGGCTGCCATTCAGCTGCTGGAGCAGTGCAGAGATGCTGAAATCAGGCTGCAGGTGGGAATCATTTGTGGCTTCATCTGCTGTTACGATGCTGTGGAGCCTGGTGCCTGTAGCTGGGCTTCTGTCAATCTTATCTCTTCTTGGGGCCAGCTTCTCCTCAATGTGGCCGAGCTGCTGAGATGGTGCAGATGGGGTTGGGGTGGCTTCATGGTAAGACTCTTTTCCATGAGTTCCAGGTACCAACTCAGCAGCATGCAGCGCACTGTGGGCTGCAAGTGCTCATCCTCTTCTTGGCAGCTTTAGAGACTCTATTAACAAGCAGTGCTAATTACCTTTAAAACAACACCGTACTTGGAACTGTCCAACTGCCAGCCTAACTTGGCACAAAGTTAGACCATTAATCTCAGCAAAAGGCATTTGTGAAGAGGAGCTTGGAGCTGCTGGCAGCTAGGTTTGCTCGTGGAGTGTCGGTGCTTGGGAGGCGGATACACTTGACAAGCAGAAGGACTTGACTTTTTCCCCTTCCGTGTACAAGCGCTATGTATTATTCAAGGTCTTCTTAAGTCAATGCTGGGTTATTAATCGGTCGCTTCTCTGCATGTTAAATTTCCCTACTAATTTGGAGGCTCTGGGAAAGGGATGCAGCTCAGAGCTCACACAAAGCTGTCCCTCTGTGAGCCTCTGCAAACCCGTGTGCGTGTGCTGGGGCTGCTGCAGCCCTGCCGCCTTGGGGTCAGAGGACAGGCTCCAGCTATTGACTTAACGCTTCCATTTCTGGGTATAGTGTGGTGGCCTGCGGGGAAGGGCGGGGGTGCAAAGGCACTGCAGCCACTCTGGGGCTCCTCTCCCCCCACCTGGCCAAGGCTCTGCCCCAGCCTCCTGCCAGCTCTAGCAAGGCACACAGCACCCACACGTTCCAGGAATCACGTCAGCTGTCATTACTTACATTACCTTGATTGGGAACAGTCACTTATGTCACCGTCCATCATCACGCCTCTCCCAGGAGATGCTGAGGAGGGAGGAGAGGAGCGGGAATTATAAAGCGCTTCCACAGTGCTCTGCCAATCCCACTGAGCATCTGTCAGCAGGCAGCTCGGGGGGAAGGAGCTGTGTGATGGATCCCCCCCTTGTACCCCACGGGGCCCAGCTTTTGCAGAAACGGAACTGCCCCAGGGAGGAGGGCAGGGATTAAGGCTGCAGTGGCTTCTTGGCCATACATTAGATGGGACTTCAGCTGGTATCCTGCATGAGCAGAGCCAGTGAGCTCTGACCTACCATCCATCCTGTCATTTTAAAGAACTCTCGCTGTATGGATGGGATGGTTTATACGAGCCAGGAGCATCACTGCTGCTGCTCCTAGCTGAGTTTGAAGAGCTCTCATAGACCCCAGCTTTCGGCGTAGGCTTTGTTGTGCTGGATGGCCTTGGTACACGCAGCTCGCCAAGCAAAGAAAGGATTTCAGAAGAGAGTCATTCTGGGGAAAAAGCAGGTGCATTTCCATGGTAGTGGGATGGCTAGTGAAGTGAGTAAATATGTGCTATAAACATGTTCAGAGCATCTCCCCGTGAAGAACCCAGCACAGCCTTTTTGAGTAAATAGAAAGAGAGCCTGGGTTCAGTTCATATGTCTGTTTTCTTCTCTTTTCTTCTTCTGGTCAACTGTGGCTGTAGATAAGAGTTTTCTATTTGAAGTTCAGAAGGGAAGGGAAATCCATTGTTAGAAGAGGAGACTTTCTTTTTGCTTGATATCTATCTCCAGCGACAGCAGAGAGGGAAAAGATTTGCTCTGATAAAGGTAGCTTTAAAAAAAAGCCACACTGAGTGTTGCTTTTCTCTGTACTTCAAAGCTGGAGTAATATGGAGCAGTTTAAAAGAAAAGGGGGGGAAAAAAAAAAAAACCAACAACCCAGCCCAGCCTCTGCACGGGGGCTGTGAATGCAGAGCCACAATAAAGCAGCATCCTGGCCAGTTGTTGTTCCTCTGTGCTCAGTGTGGTGGCACAGGCTGCACTTGGTACTGTGAGGGGAGCATAGCTGGCACCAGTGAGAGAGGGCTGTGCTGCTTGGGGGCCAGAAGTTGGCTTTCTGCATTATGGGGCTGCAAGCTGAGCTTGCCTTAGGGATCAGCTGTTTCCTATCAAAGCAGAGCAGGGCAGTGCTAGGAGGGCACCTGCTGCCACCACCCTTGCACCCAGGCAACAGCGTTCCACGTGCAGTAGGGCTGGTCCCTTGCTATCATCCTCTTTGCCTCCAGCTCAATGGACACACTCCGGATAGATGAATAGCATCAAGTGCCACATCTGCTGGGCTGCTGTTGTGGCTTTCTCTTCATCCCCACCCTAAGCCTGGGTCATGGGTCTCGTCCTGGAATACAGCAGGAAGTGATGGGTCACCATCCCTGGAGCATTTAAGAACTGTGGAAATGTGGCACTGGGTGACACGGCCATCGGGCACAGTGAGGACCAGTTGACAGTTGTACAAAGCAATCTTAATGGTCTTTTCCAACCTTAATGATTCCACAGATGTGAGGGTCCCGTGACAATGCCAGAATCCCTTGGGCTTGCTGAGCACCCCCAGCGCTTTCCATGAAGCCTTTGCAAGGAGGTAGTAGATGCATACTGGTGCTTGAGTCTGGAGAAGGAGCAGAAAAGGAACCAACAAACTCAGTGCTGGCCTGAGCCCAGGCTGGAAGCAAAAAGATCTCCAGCAAACCTGGGCTGGTCAGAGTTGCTAACGAGCCTTTTCTTTGAGCTATGTTTTACATCCTTTAAAGATTGCAGGGAGCTCTTGGGGAGAATCTGCTAAAGTAAATGGCAGAGTCAAGTGTGCCAGCTTCTTTCTTTCCCTTTTCTTTTTCCTTTTTTTTTTTTTTTCTCCCCTTTCTTGGTTCTCTTTATTATGTGGAGTTGCTCTGGCTCTTTCTCTCACTTCTGTTTCTCCTTTTGTTCTCTCTTTGTCTATTTATCACACTGTGAAGGTTGAAAGAGATGTTATTAATCTGGGAGAATGAAGGCAGGATTAGTGGTATGAATCGGATTTTGAGAGCTGTAATGATAGAAAGACTCGCTCTGCTGGCGGGCTGCGTGAGTTTGATAAATGGGGAGCACTCCAAACTGACTCGCGCCTTCCTCCGCACTGCTCGCTTTGCCCGCTGGGGCGTGCCATGCTCTCAGATCTGCCAGCCATCCCACACCGCTCCTACCTGAACCAGAGCAAAAAGCCAAGGGTAAATCAGAGACAAATATCTCCCATTGCACTTAAAGAGATCATTTCTTTCAACATCTTTTTCAAACAGAGTCCTGTCAAGTTCTTGGACAGCCTCATTGGTGTGTAGGTAGGATCCTTCTTCAGAGCGCAGCTCTGAAGCGCAGCCCTGTGTTATTGCATCCTACCAAGGCTTTGCAGGGAGCAGTACAGAGAGCTCCCAGCCTGCAAGGCACAAAGAAGCAGGGCAGTATCCAGAGGAATGAGCAGGACCCATCACCTCCAGCCAGGAAGATCCAGCACCTCAGTCACCCTCACCCACTTGAGCCCATCCAACACCCTAGAAAGCCCTCAAAACTGAGGCCAGAGCCAGCAAGTAGAGAGATGTAATGCTGTAATGTGATGGAAAACACGGCAACGACAGTAGGGCAGCAGAGTCCCAGGCTCCAGCAAGCAAGCATAAGCCCAAGTGCAGCAGCCACGGATACAAAAACAAGGGAAAAAAGCTGCATACCTTTAAAAGACCCCAGGTAAGCAGAGATCTCCAGCAAGCTACCCTAGCCTCCCCCTGGCAGCCCTTAAATGAGGGCTGGGAAGGGGTGGATCCTGGCTCCACCCCTTCCAATCACTCAAGTCCATTGCTTACACCTGAGCTGCCCTGGGTTGGCCCTGCCTTCCCAGCAGGTGCTCCATCACTGGTTCAGGCTGTGACAGCATTTCCACTACAAGGGGACATTGCACCTTTAAGCTGGTTGATGAATGCAAGGTTCACAGCTCTGATCCTGCCCCTTCTGCAGTGGTGTCACTAAACGTTCGTACATAGAAACTGTGCCCTGCCCCAGGATCCTCCTGGTGGTCCTCAGCCTGTGTGTGGCTTCTGCCATACCCGTTTGTATTAGCTGCTCGCTTTACGGCTGGGTGGGCTCTTGTGGTCCAGCACAGGAGCATTTTGCTGAAGTGAGATGTTGCATGATGTTAACATGCAATGTGTTGCTTGTGCCTGCGGGGCTGGGGCATGGCCTTGGCCATACAGGGTCTGCCTAGAAGTGGGAACGGGGCCACAGGCAGCCCGGAGTTGTCCGTGTCCCTTTAACTGCGAGGTAATGGACTCCCCCACGCTCGGGCTGAGTTCTCCTCCTGCATTTGCGGCAACGGTAATGATTGTCAAGGTAGAGCTAATGAGACGTGCACATCTTTAAAGGATCGTGGCTTCTGAGACAAAATTAAAAAAAAAATGGAAGGAAGAGAGTGGGGGAAGGAGAGAAAGTCCAACTGCTCTGTCTCAGCCAGACAGAGTTTTGCCTGTCTTGCACAGCCCTGGGGACAGAAGAGGTAGAAAGTGGGGTAGGAGAAAGATGTGCACGGAAAAGGACATGAGAATATCAGTCTGCACTTCCAGGCACAGCAGAAAGTGCTGTCTGAATGTTGAAGAGCTATAATCCCCCCATGCCCTTCCTGCAGTGGGAAGGAGGTGGTGGCTGGGGAGGTCAGACAGGATCTGGCCTTTTGGGAAGGGCCAGTGGGGAGCCAGGGATATTGCATGTTGCACAGTGTGACCGCCAGCACTTCCATCCCCTCCCACTCAGTATTTCAACTTCACAGGTTGAATTGGTTCAGAGAAGCCCAACTCAATGAGGAGAGAAAAGATCAGTCAAATATTTCTTAAATCCCATCTTTAAGAGCTAAGTGCTTGGCTGGAAATTTAAGGCAGGTAATGAGGCTCTCTTCAGATCAGCTTGTGATGTGGAAACTCCAAGATTGACCGGGCTGCAACAGGAAGCGAGCTGAAGCACAGTGGGGATGGAGTGGCACGGGATCCCCGTGCCCAGCACTCTGCCCGTGGTCATGCCATGCCCTGACAGCATCTCCCTCACCATCCTGCTCTGCTCTGCTCCTCTCCTAGGCAAGAGCTGGGACCCTCCGAGCTTCCCTCTTTGTATCCAGGTTTTTAGGCCTTCTGTTGTTAATTATTGAGATGTAATAATGTGATTAGTGCACTATTAAAAAAATCGCTGATATGATTACCATGGATTTAATATCACATGATATATCATTACATTGTTACACGGTGACAGATGTAATTGAAATACACTTATTGGAGCCTGGGGTCGTGTTTCATTCAATCACAGGAGCACCTCTGAGGGGCAGAACAGAAATGCCTTTAAAAAAAGCATCAGGAGAGGAAATCGTAATGAAAACAAAGAAACTTGCAGCCTACTCAGATTTTAGGCGGCTTCTACCTTGGCTTTTTCTGCATGGGAATTTAGAAAGGGTCAGGTTAGGAGCATGGTGATGGAGCAGCTGGAGAAGATATGTCAGCCAAGTTGACAGGGCAGTTGATAGAGCAGCCAAGGGGACAGGGAGCAGGACTTGTGATAGGAACCTGCATACAGATGATGGTGTCATGATGCTGGGGAAGGCCTTTTCTGATGTCACAGAGAACAGCAGATATCTGTCCATGCTGCGTTGTCCTTGGCAGGAGCTGCAATGGGCTCTGTTACAGGGATGACCTTGGCACAGAGATGTTTGCCTTTTGGCTGGGACACGGTGTGGGCTGCCGCAACATCCTAGCAAAGGAAGCACCAAGACCCAGCACTGTGCCATGCTGCTGGTCCTGGAGGTGAGCAGGAATTGAAGTCCCTTTCCCCGGTAGTGGGCTCCAGTGACAGGACATTACCTCCAGAGAGTTTGGGGCGCTTGGGTCTTGGTTTGTACGTGGCCCAGAAATGGTGCAACCTGCAAAATGGGGCTCAAGTAACAAGGTGCTGTGCTTGTCCTCACCCTTATCTAAAACAAAGGAGGAAGAATGTGTGGGTGAGGCAAGGGCGAATTTTCCAAGTGAGAAGGAAATGGCAGCGTGGAGACATCTGGATGTTTGCATAATGGTGTGCGGGCAGCTGGCTTCGTGCATTTGGCACTGCATTGCCCCTTGCATCTGTCCCAGGAGCTGGACTACAAACCCTGTTGATGCTTCAGGGGCACTCCTGCTTCAGATGGGCGTCCAGCTCTGCCCCGCCGGAAATGGTCAGTGTTCCTATTGTGAGCCTTTGCTTTGCCAGTAGCTGTGGAAATTCATTTCCAGCTGGTGTGGGAGTGCTGTGGCTGAGAAGGCTCTGGCAAGCATCTTTCTTTCGAGGTTAAAAACATAATTTCAGTCTGACCTCTGAGTTTCAGAGCTTTTGTTGGTTTTCTCCACCCCCAGATGGTTTTTGTGTGTGATTTTAAAATAGCCTTCTTCTCTTGGTTGCAGCTAGCTGATGCATCCGCTTCTCATTCGAGGATTGTTGTGTTTTATTAATGCTGTTATTATTCCATTACTGTCATTGTGCTCTTTTATAGCAAATAGCTTAATTTAGTTGAGATACACAGATGCTGAGAGTTTAAGTGAATTCTTCAGCACTTGGTATGCTGGGTACTGATATTCCCTAAGTACTTTGATATAGACCTTTTGCTTTAAAACAAATCAGCTGCCAGGGGCGTGCTGGGTGGCAGGGATCTGGGAGGAGGGGTGGATGAGTGCCTGTTTATCCCACACAGAGAACCCTGGCCATAAGAGTTGAACTCAGTGATCCTTATGGGTCCCTTCCAACTTAGGATATTCTGATTCTGTGGTTCTGTTCTCAGGAACAGAACTGAGGGTTTCACCACCTAGGTAGGATGTGTTGGGGTTCTTGCCCTACAGATGTTGCAGCACAGAGGAAATGACACCAACAACGTTGCCATTTGGGGGCTTGCTTTTTATTTTGGCAAGGGTGGCAAAACAAGCTGCACTGCCTGCAGCTGAAGCTGCTTGACTGCTGGGAGAGGAGAGAGGCTGAAGGCCAGCACCGGTGCCCAGATGACCTAAGGGGGACAAGTGACTTGGGTGTTTAAGCCTCTCTGGAGGTGCAGTCCAGGCTCTTGAGTACCTCAGGTATTTTTGAGATTTTACCTCTTAGTGCTGACAGATGTTGATCTGAAATGGATGCTTCTTTCTTGGTGCCTCTGGGCGTTCATTAGTGGTAGTGATAACTGTTCCAGATTGCCTCCTATACCTTAAAAATTAAGGAGGGAAAGCCAAAGCCCCATTATGGTCCTCTTATTTGTGCACTTAACTCTTACTGCCTTGGCAAAACAGAGTGATGTGAGTGCAGGGAATGAATATGAGCAGGGAAAAACTAAAAAGGAGCAAAGTAAAATGGAGCAAATGAGTGCCCCAGAGGCTGAGATGGTGCTGGTGGCAGCAGTGGCTCAAGGGGAAGTGTCCTTGTCACCTGGCCATGGCCAGGAGGGTGCTGTGTGCCTGCAGACTGGGACAGCTGCAGTTCTGGGGGTGCTCCCCCCTCTCATGCTCCTCAGTGGCAGGGATTTGGCTTGCCATCTGGGTTAGGTGAGGCGACCGATTCCTTGTGGAGTGGGGACAGATCCCCTGCTGACCCCTGCTGCCGGTCCCCAGTGTGCACTCATAATAGCTTTGGCTCCATGCGAAGTTGTCAGGATCATTTTATCTCCCTGCTTTGAGGCAGCTTTGTGGCTTTATCTGGCTTTCGAGACGACCGGGAGAGCTAACAACATGCAGAGAGCATCCTCTGCGGAGGGGACCTGGAGCCCAGTTTTGCTAGAGGTCTGCTTTACCACTTATGAGAAACGAGTTAACCTCCCTTTGATCTCAGTTCACGGCTAACCCTTTAACAAAGTCCTGGATGTGCGAGGAAATCAATACTCAAGGCATTGAATTTAACACCAGCCATCAACTCAAGCGTAACACACACACTGGCTGGCTGCGATTACAAGCAGTGGGCTGGTTTGGAGCTCGTTTGCCAGCTCTCTGGGGTGCACAGGGCAGGCGGGTGTGCTCGCATGGCTTGCTGGCACTCGGGAGGGGTGAGAGGGACCTGGCTGTGCCCCGTCCTCACATTGCCTCTGCCTCCTGCACCCCTTGTCCTGAAAAAAAAGAGAAATTGGAACAGTAAAATCATCTCCGTTTGCTGTTCTGTCGAAAGCAGGGAGCGTCATTTCTGCCTCCTGCACTGCAGGGCCCACGCACTGCCTGCCTGCTGCTTGCACCCATCAGCGCTCTTACAGCCACCTCTGCTTTCACCTCCCCAGCTGTAACTCTGACCTGAGTCAACAGACACGGGAAGAGCTGCTGTGCAGATGATCCAGGGTGAGTTCTGCCTTTGATCAGACAGGTATCGTCCCCAGGCAGTGCCTTGTTAACTCACCTCAGTGCTCCCTCCCCACTGCCATGAGGCCTCCTGCATGGGCAAGGGATGTGGCCACTGCCCTCCTAATCCTTAGTGATCTTTTCCCTGGTGCCTTTTGCCTTGTAGTCTCCCTCTTTCTCTTGCTGTTCTAGCTCTGTCTCTTCTGAGTGGCTTCACGTCTTCAGGGAATGCTGAGAAACTTCATTCAATTCTTGCAGCTCGTAGGTTCCCATAGTTCTGTTGAGTTGGTGCTGGGCCAAATCGTACAGTCATTTGAGTTGGAAGGGACCATCCAGAGCCATCTAGTCCAACTCCAATGAACAGGGACACCTACAGCTCCATCAGGTGCTCAGCCTGACCTTGGGTGTCTCCAGGGACACGGCACCTGCCACCTCTCTGGACAGCCTGTGCCACTTCCTCACCACCACTCTTATTATACAAAGCTTGTTCCTTATATCTAATCTAAATCTCCCCTCTTTTAGTTTAAAATCATTTCAGATGTGAAGACTGCTTTCTGCTTCTGCAAGTCTGCTGTCTGGGAAGAGGAGGTAAGGAGCTGCAGGGCACAGGTTTCCATGCCCCTCTGGTGAGAAGGACCTGCAGGATCAATCTCCTGCTTCTTTCCCATCTGACAGGGCCTGAGTTGTAAGAACAGAATACTTGTCCTTGGGCCTCCACAGTCCCAGACTTCCTCACTTCAAGGCCAGGCAGGATGGGGCCCTGGGCAGCCTGATCTGTTGGGTCACAGCCAGCCCACGGCAGGGGGGTTGGAACTGGATAGGCTTTAAGGTCCCTTGCAACCCACACCATTCTGGTATAATTTCTGGCATGTATGTGCCCAGTAGCATGACCATCAGTGGATATGGCCCTTCAGAAACACCCAGAGCACTTGTGTGCATGTCTGCTGTGGACAAATGGCTTTGTTTTGCACTGGGAAAGCTGGAGTCAAAATGTCACATCAGTGCTCGCGCCAGAATAGATTGCTCCTTGCAGAGGGCAGCATTTCTGTCGCTGGGTTTTGCTTTGAGTTTCCCAAGCAGAACCATTCCCACACAGTGAAAATGTTACAATATTTTGGCTTTTCCATCCTGATTTAGGATGAAGGGAAATGTCAGAGCGTTGGTTTGTCCCCCAGGCCGATTCCCAGTGCCGTGCTCTGCTTGCTCCCACCACATTTGATCCAGGCTGGCTCCCTCCAGGTGTGTGGAAATGAGCTGCAGCCTCATGTTTCTGCAAAAGCTTCTCGGAGGAGATGGCAGAAGGGTCAGAGCGCCTCAGGAAATCTCCCTCAGGCAATGTGCCGTCACATCTCGCAGCAGACAGACAGCATAACCTTTAGGGCATGGTAAGGGGCAGTGTTTTCAACTCAGAGCTGGAGAGCTCATTTCTCTGACACGCCATTTCCGCATCCACCTGAAATACTTTTGTCGTAACCCATTATGGCCTTAGTTGGAACAGAAAACAGCTGGTGAGCCGGTCCACATTTATCTGACACAGCCATGTGGAGCTTCAGGGCTGTGTGTGGGGCACGGCTGCCCCTGCAAACTGGAGCCTCTGAAGGCAGCACCGTGCTGTGGAGCAGTGCAGGGAGAGCACTGGGTCCCCCCTCCCCTCCCAGCAGTACATAATGGCACTTTTTATTTAGCTATTATTTCCCAGTGGCAGATATCTCCTCGGCTGTCTGTTTAACTAACTATCTTTATCTCACCCTCCTTCTCTGTTTGATATAGTTATAGATAAGCAGATAGCTACCTTAGTAAATAACATGTTTTTAAGAGACCAGCGGTATGGTTAACATAGTGCAGCAGCTGTTGATTTGTCTTTCACTGTTTGTTGGTTTTTTCTTGCTTTTTTTTTTTTCTTAAGGAAATGCTTTAAATAAGGGATACTTCATCTATTAAAAAAAAATACACTTGTAGCAGCTGCTAAGCCCATCCATAAGCCTGCTTTACGTTGTATTTGTGATGGGACTGACAGTGCATGGAGGAGCCTGATTATACACAATTCCATTTTAGCAAGCCCTGCGATGTAATTTCACAGGGCGATCAGTGTTTGAATGTAATAGCAGCCTCTGCTAAGGTGTCAGAATATTAAAGGCGCTAATGGAAAAGCTCCCTGGTACACAAGGGGGACAGCATTACAGGAGACGTCGCAGATGGCTGGGCACTAAACTAATGGGGCAGGATCCAAGAAGGGAAAAAAAAAGCCTCGAGAAGGGAGAGCTCACGGGAGCACGGGCACCTGCTTCCCTCTCACACGGAAATTAAACAGTGAGCGAGGGAGAGACGAGCGTGCGTGTGTGTAAAAATAGAAATTGAGGGGGAAAAATTTCCCCTTCAAAAGGGATTGGGTGTTTTGACAGTGAACCTGGAGCCAGCTCTGCTTTGGCAGGGTGGGGGGTTCAATCATGGGGATGTGTGTTTGGGGGCTGGAGGAGGAGGATGAGATGGTGAGCAGTAGCTTCATGCAACACAGCCAAACAGCAGCTCTTCGATGGCTTGTGATCTGTGAAATCCATGGAGGGAGATGTGTGTGCAGAGTGCCCCACTCATCTCTGTGCTCACATCTGCAGCAGCTGACGGTCTGATTTCAGGGTAGTGCCAGCCTGTGCCTGTGTCCCAGCCCCACTGCAGGCTTCTTCCCCGCCTCGGCTCCCATTTTCCCCAGGAGCAGCCAAGGAGAATCTGACTGGTCCATGCTCAGCCACCTGGAATGGGATGTGGCTGTGGGTGAAGACATTGCTGGGTTTGGCTTCATGCCATATTCCTCACCTAGCCCACCTCAGGGCAGCAGGAGGGAAAGGCTCCGTGTCTCTCTTCCTTTGCTGTTCCAGCACTGCTGCTCCCCGGTTCTGTGCACAGTCCCATTTCTCAGCCCTGCAATCACCCAGACCTGTGGCTTTGTTTCTCTTGAACCCAAACCCAAGCTTGGACCCAGGTCCCAGAGGCCTTAACCTAGCACGTCACCATCCGCAGAGCACACAGAAGCCAAGAACATTTTATCCGGGATAATCCTCAGCCTGGGAGCAAGGCAGAGACTTGTTCAAACACATGGAAACGTGAAGCCTAAACTGCTTGGCACTTTGACATGGTGGAGCCAGGCTTGCAGGCCTTGCACAAGCCCCAGCGCCTGCTAATCCTGCAGGGCTGCTGCTCCAGGTTGGATCTGTCCTGCTCCTCCTGAAGCTGAGTTAGAGCGGTGAATGTGCGTGCTATTGCTGGGTTGTGGGCAGACAGGCTGCTCAGGCACACCTCTGGATGGGAAGGCCCATGTGCCTCAGTTTCCCTTTGTGAACAGGAAAGCCTTACCTGCTTGTGCTGCAGGGTGTTTGGGCAGGCGGTGGCTCTCCCTGGGCAGTGTCAGAGCCCAGCTGCGGGTTCCCCAGGCTGTATGTCGAGGCAGCGCTGCCACATCAGCAGTACCACAGTTTCAGGGTGTGTGTGCACCATGTGTGTGCGCAGCAGTGCTCTCATGGACAGCAATCTGATGACAAGGAGAAAGCACACAGGCTGCAGCCTCCCACGGGCTGGATTCTGTGGGAAGCAGTCCCCATTGATAAAGGGTGCTGGCTGGGGGTTACTGGTGAGTTCTGCAGCCCCTCTTGCTGCTGTATTGATGCAAATGCAACGCAGAGCCCCGTAAGTCAGCCAGGCGCACGCAGAGAAAGGCAGGGATGGATGGAGTCGGTGTCAGGGCAGCAATTGCTTATCATGCCTTATCTGGGAATATGAAACTGTATTGCATGACATCCAGAGGCAGGCTGAATAGATATGCCAATTCATCTCGAGCCCAGGCTTTGACAAGCTAGACTGCCCTTGTTGAAAGGCATCAGTCAAACAAGAGCTGCTGGCTGCTTTTCCCTTTCTTATACTTTCCCTCGCTCTCGCGCTCCGTCTCCCTCTCTCGCCGCCTCCCCTCCCTCCTCCTTTTTTTCTAAGCTGTTTCCACACCAAATTGAAAAGCTTTGGAAATAATAATAATAAAAGCCCCCCAAACTAATACCGTTTTAAGTACCCCCCTCCCTCCCCAAATGGGATTGATAAAGAACCCCAGTGTATGAAGGCATGTTTAGATAACATTGAGAATATTATAGCGGGTGAGAGAAAGTAGGGGAAAAGCTTCCTGCCGCGTCTAAGCCGGGAAAGGCGACGGCACCCTGGCTAATACGAGTGTTTAATATTTGATGTGTTGGGATAAAGCAGGATCACCTTCGAATTGAATTGAGTGTCAGAATGAGAATCTATTACTGAAATTCTTGTGTGATTTGACAGCAAAGCAGACGATGTTATTCTTCACTAGTTACCGCAATCTTCTCTCCTACATCACTTAAATATTTTTTTCTTTGCTTGAGTAAACACACATTATCCTTTTTTTCCACCCCCCTTTCCTTTTTTTCTTTCCCTCTTTTATACTTTTTTTTTTAACGTTTTTTTTCCCCTTAAATCAAACCTGCCTTTCGCGGGGCCGATGGAGCAGATTGTTATTTCTTTATTTGTCCTATTAAATGGAATTCCTGATCGTTTAATCCCGCTTTTGTAAGTGATTTAAAAACACTTGAAAAGCTGTGAATGCGGCAGCCCTGCTGACTAAACTGCTTAACAGGGACACATTGCACCTGGGCTGGTGCGGCATGGGGGAAATTCCTTGCCTGCCGCAGCCGGGCTGCAGGGGATGCTGTGCTGCAGAGCGCTGGGGGACCAGCTTTCCTCCTCGCCCTCCTGCTCCTTACCTACTCCTATGTATGCGTTTTCAGCCCCAGCCAAGCTGTGTGGTTTGGCCTGGGTGGCGTTCATTCGCCCTTTCATCGTGCTGGTGAGTTTGCATGGCAGGGAGTCCCAGCAAGATATTTCCCGTTCCCCTTCTTCCTGTAGCTTGCAAGTAATAATATGGGATGGCCAGTGACCAGCTGCCCCAAAGGCATTCTCAGCCCCAAAGCCATAGGACGGAGTGGCACCAAGGACACATTAAGGTCTGTTTCAAAGCCCGCTTAGCTGCAGACTCAACCTCCTTTTTCCTTCCAACACACAAAGTAATATAAAACCCTGACATCTCATCATGGGAGCAGCAGAATGAGGTGGGTTCGAGGGAAATGCTTATGTTGGGCATGCAGTTGACATGACGAGGGGAAGAAGATGCTTTTGCTGTCACAGAGTCATTTTCTCTGTTGCAAGGATGTCAGGGGTCAGCCTCAATCCGCGGGCTGCTGTGCATAGGGGTCCTGCTCCCTCCACTTCCCATCCCCATCCTTCAGTATCTCCTCAACCCACCCAGTGTCTTTGCTCCTGGGATGATTATTCCAAAAGGAAGTACTTTCTCCCTGCGTGGTACATATGAATATTAAAATTACAGTTAGTGTGTTAAACGTTTAAAGACACTGGGTGGGTCATAGCATCGACATGGCAGAAAGGACAGGGAACATGGCACTGCCAGCCCCTGTAAGGTGTCTACTGAATGCTGCTGAGTGCTTCCCATAAATAAATGATGGGGCATTGTTGAGCCCACTTGCTCAGTACATCAGTTTGGCATGTTCCAGTGCAGGGAGCACACAGCATCTCCATGCCCCAGGCTGCTCTACCCCAAGTGCTGTCGCGTAGCACCTCTGTGCTTTGCTTCCCCCCAGCTTGAGTATCCTGCAGATTATGCAAGGTATGAGTTACCCAAGGACTTATTCCCAGTCCTGTTAACGGGATGTGGATTATCTGTGGGGCTGGTTGCGTGTGTGGAAATAGAGCCTGCTCCGAATGTCCGGCTGCTCTTAGCTCCCATTTATCACAGGAGGATCTGCTTACCTTTGGTTTGAGATCCCTGCACCAGGGAGCGACCCAAGGCAGTATTTGTGAACTGCTGCGTATACCTATGGGATTGTATAAGTAAATAAATATAATTAATAATCGTCTGACTTCAGAGGAGCGTTGGCTGGGAGGTAAATGTGGCCTTCACAGAATTACAAACAGAATCAGGAAAAAAGGGAGAGAATGGAATGGAATGGAAATAACTGAGTTCAGACTGCTTGAAAATGATTCTGCAAACGTCGTTTTGGTGTTTCATAGCAGATCAGAGGGGCTGAGTTCGTATTTGAATCAGAATTTTGACCCAAAATATTTTACGAGAGCTTTTTGAAAAGGTACCCACGTTTTTTGTACAGTTCAAATGGAGATGAAAACAAAATGCTGTGGGGTGCTGCTCTCACCTCATGGTGCTCTGCCTGGTCCCTGCAGTGAGGGAGGGACAGATGGGTGTGATTTCCTGGCAAAAAGGGCAAAAAGCCACTGGTGCTGGCATCGGGACCTTGTGTCGGGTGCTCGCTTTAACAGTCAGAAGAAGAACTTTCCTGTTTAAAGATTAAACATTGTCTTTAAATATTAAACAGCAAAGCTCTTCGTTCTTGATTGTGTGGCTGCTGCCGGCAGGCGGCTCAGAATTGCCAATTTTAATTAAAAAACTTTATTTTCGAATACAATCCACCACTGGCAGAGCTCCTCCCTGACCAGGCTGGCTGCACCTCCCCCGGCCCGGCTGCTTTCCGCCTGCCACGAGGTGACAGCAGTCACTGCACCGAGTGTGAGCGGCCTCAGCCGGACCGATCAATGCCCCTGGCACTTCCTTCCAAAACCCCAGGAAAAACAATTAAAACCCAATCGATCCTGCAGACAGCTTTGAATATGCATAAGTGCACACTTGACCTTCAGTGGTCAGGCCAACTTCCAGCCGGGCTGCTTAGCTAGTTTGCTCAGGTAGCGCGGCTGTACCAAATGACCTTGATTAACAAAGCAAAAGTGCTATGCAAAAGAGGTGCTGATCTGAGAGATCTAAGGTGTGGGCTTCTTGCTCTGTTCACAGCAATAAACCCCAATTTTAAGCAGCAGAGAGGTGAGAAGGGTGCGGGGCACTTGGCTGATGGGTGTTAAGGCAGCCTTGCCCTGTGCATGGCTGTGGCTTTGCTGGGATGATGTTGGAATGTTCTCCTCGCCAGGAGCTTGATGCTCTGCATCCACCCGCTGCAGCCCAGGAGAGGGAGCCAGGAGCCCCAGGCAGAGCTGCTGTGTTCAACACCCAGACCCCAGAACTGGGTATGGGGCACAGCACCCCGACCCACACACGGCCACCGGCAATCCCAGCAATGAAGTTATCAAAGCGTGTTTGTTGAACGTGTTGTGTACACACACAGTGTAATTTCAGTGAATTATGCATAGACTTAATTAGGAGTTTTAATTGCTAATCATCTCCCAACAGGATTAGCAATGCTGTCTATTAATTATCCGTGGAGCCCTCTGTTTTGCTAAGGCAGGAGCAACAAGGCAGCGTAAACCGTTACGGAGGCCAGCAGTGAATTCCCAAGCCCAAAGCCATGGCTCCCATGGGGCAGCCATGCAGCAGGGAGCAGACCAGGGGCACTGGGGGCAGCCCCAAAAGCAGGCTTTGCTTTTGGATCCCTGCCACTCTTCCATGCAGTGACTGTATGCAGTGATGATCCCCGCTGCAGGAGGGAGATAGGTGCTGCGGGATTGACCTGATCTCATCTGGGGACAGTGGCCCTCACGGCAGCAGAGATAGCACTGCGTGAGTTGTGCTAAGCCCACGCACTGTTCTTAAGGCTCACAATGCAATTGTGAGCTTAATTCCTCAAGATGAAGGAGATAGGGGGCTCTCAGGCTGTAATTATGGGCGCGTGCATGGTGCAGGGCTGGGCTGTTCTTCCACTGGTATTATCCAATGGGGCTGTGCCACTCGGGCTGCGGGTGCTGCTGCAAGAAGCTGTGGGGCCGGAGCAGGCCCTGGCTGGGTTACGGGCTCTATGGGGCCCAGTGGGGTTTCTCCTGGAGGTGAAGAGCCCAAGGGCAGTAGGAGTCCCAGAACACTCAGCCGTGGAGTTGGGGGCTGCCTCAGGAATGCCACGGTGACACTCCTGTTCTAGTCTCAGTGTCAGGCCCTGGGCATCTCTGAAGTGGGACAGGCGTGCACCACCTCCTGGAAAGTTCTTTAGGGGCAGTGTCTGGATCTGTGTTGAATACTGGGGACACAAACCCACATGTGCCCTCCAGAATGTATCTCATGTGTCCCATGCAACCTGTGACTTTCTGCTTTTCTCTTGCAGGCGTACAGCTTTGCCATGGGGAGTTGGCCAAAGAACGGACTCTTAGACATGAACAAAGGACTGAACCTACAGCACATAGGGAGGCCTCACAGTGGGATAGGTAAGTGACCCAGTGCGGTGTTCTGCCCGTCCCCATGGCTCCAAGAGCTGCTCAAAGACATGTGCTGAAGGCCAGTCAAAGGGCTGCATGGCCTCTGGCTGGTAGAAGGGAAGAAGATGCACCAGGTTGTGTCTGCAGCACGATTCGAAAGGGGGAATGTATCCTAGCTCTTAGTCCCCCTGGGGAGTTGCTCCAGGGGTGCTGCAGATGAGAGGGGATGAGTGCTGGGCTGAGAGCTCTTCCTGCTCTGGGGTGCTCTGGGGACTGCAGTTGTCTTTGGGGACAGGGATGGTGCCAGGCTGTGGGATATGTGGGTGGCAGGGAGCTGGCCCAGGTTCGCTGCACTGTGCCTCAGAGGGCTGCATCACAATTGCCTGCCTTGTGTCTGCCTTCCCTCTGCCTCCCAGCCCTTCATTCAGTGTGACTTGAGAGAAGTAAAGTTTGCAAGAAGGTAAGATTTACTTGGAAAAGTCACCTGCTACCTGGGCCTTGAGGAGGCTGTTTAATATTGTTTCAAGACTCTAACCATTAAACTCTCCAATCAATCCAAGTTAAGGAGATGAATTATTTAAAGCTCACCAGCTTTTAATTAGCAAGCTCCTTTTGAACTATGGATCTGGTTGCATTATTGACGGAGGTAGCATTAAAATTTGCTTCCTTGCCTGGGAGCAGATTTGCCTTGCTGGTGTGCCACACTGGGGGTGTTGGGGATTAAGCTGGGGCTGCAGGAGCTGTATTCTGCCTTGTTTTGGGGCTTGAATCTTTCCTAGAGACTCTCTGGGGGATGCAGGGTTGTTTTGTGCCTCATCTTTTGTTTTATTTATGGTGAGAGTGCTCTGTTGTTGTCATCTCCTACTCTGACAAAGCATCCCTAGTTCTGGAGTATCATCTGTCTGCTCTTGGTTTCTGCCCACGTTTATGTCAGTGCTGTCTTGCTCAGGTGTGTCTCTGCCTGATTGAGTTGAAAGGTGCTGCTCACATCCCTCTCCACTCCAGTCTTTTAGGAAGGCATTGCTGCCTTGTCCTGGAGCAGGAATGTGTCCTGCAGAATTTCCTGCCCTGGGCTGCCCCTCCCTTCCTGGAACAGCCCAATCCATGCCCACTTTCCAGGACTGCTATCTCAAGAAAAGAGCTAGGAACAGCTCAGCACATCTGCTTGCCTGTTACTTTACATAGCAGCAAGCCTGGACCTAGCTGTGGCTTTGGAAATGCTCCTGTGTTGTCTGGGGTCTCATTACTCCTTTGTAGGGTCCTGGGGTGCGGCAGGGTTGAGGAAACTGGGGGGCAGAGTGAGGTCCCCAGGGCTGCCCTAGGTGGGTGTAAACACCTGCTCTGATGGTTGCTGGTGCGGAAAAGTCTGCAAACCCTGCAACCAGGGAAGGCTGAGAACTGAACAAAGACATGCATAATTTCCCCTCTGGTTCCAATATGGGAACGTCAGGCTGGATCCTATATGGAAGCCTCACCTTGTGCAGCTGCCGTGGATGGGTAGGGAGCTCGTGGTGGTGCCTAGTGGAAATCCAGGGCCACATCCCTTGGGAAATATGGCTGGGGCTTCCCTGATGGCCAGAGGGAGCTCTGTGCAGTTTAGGGCAGCAGGTCCCTGCAGTGACAGTGGTGCAGCCTTGTTCTCCCACCGAGGTCTCTCTATGGAGTTGCAGAGACTGATATAAATCAGAATGATTAAAATCACAGGTTTTAATTGAGATTTAAATCAGCCAGCAGGGCACCTGCTTTCAGTAATTGATTTTCTTCTATATTCACACTGTTTTTAACTGTTTCCCTAAAGAAAGGTCATGTTTTACTGACCAGCACCTATCAGACCGTGTTCAGCTCTCCCAGAGGTTAAACCTGGTTATTCTTCCTTACATTTAATACAGTATATTTTCTACGCTTATTTTAATCAATAACGTAACATAATAAGCCTTTACTCTTAGTTTTTAAATTGTCATTACATTAGAAAAATGGTGCATTACTGTTTGTTATTCAAGAAGTGAGGATTAAAAGATTGCTCATGATTTCAGCCATAGTGCTTTTGGATGAAAATCAGAATGCTCTGTTTGAGTAACCATAAGGTGGTTTAAATAATGTTTGTTGGTGACATTCTTCTTTTTCTACAAGCCTTTGTTGTCTCTTGGCTCTGAGCGAGCCAGTTATTGAACTGAAAATACACCCAGAAAAGGGAGAAATTTCCAAATGTGCAGAAGAAGCCGCTGCCATGCAAGTTGATTTCTCGTTTGCCCGCTCTGCTTTCACCTGTGGTGGATTGGCTGTCTGCAAAGCATGGTGAAAGTTCAGAATTCAGCCTGCAGATTCTTTCTGTTTCAGATCTCGGGCCCCGTTTAGGCTCAGGACGTGCCAGCATGGTCCTGGGGCCGCAGCACTGCTCTGTGTCATGGGGCCGTGCCTGGTTGGGGGAGCAGCCCCACGGCCCGGGGGTCAGCAGCCCTACAGTGCACAGCCCTGCAGGCACCCGCACTTTCCCAACCCCGACTTTCTCTTTTCATTTACTGATTGGAAATCTCGGAAGGTTAGGGCGTGATATTGTTCCTGATCCAGAGCATTAATTAGGCCTCGGATAGAAGAAGAGGAATTGCGTGTTTTTAACAGTGAGGTTAATGGGATGCTCGCAGAGTAGACAGTTTTAATGAGCTTCAACTCGACGTGCAGTGAGTTTACTCTTTGTGTTAAAAGGGTCACACTGCAGTAGTTTGATGTGGATTGTCTCCTGGCCCCCAGTGTCATAGGTGAGCGTCTGTCAGAGTCCAGTCAGAGCGCATTTACTTAGTGACACGATTCTAATTAACTGCCGCCGGCTGCCAGCGCCCGCGGTGCCCCTGCCCTGCCCGCGTCCTGCTAAGTGCGGGGCGGGCACACGCATGGTGCCTGTAGCTGTCAGCACCCACTCTCCCCCCGCAGCTTTATTTCAGTCTGCTTTCCTTTCCTCTTTCCTTTCTTCTCGGGATGCTCCAAGTCCCTGTGCTTCTCTCTGGCACGTGAACCAAGGGGACGAGGACAGCGTTTTGTGACATTTCCCTCTGCTTTTTGGCCACCTCTCACTCCAACCTCGGTCCCCCACTGGCTCTTGGGACAGAGCAGGCAGATCCCGTCCTTCAGCTCTCAGCAGAGGCCATGCTCTGCCAGTGCAGTACCGTGGGCATGGCATCGTCCTCATGCCAGGGGAGCCAATGGCAAAAGCCGAGCAGAGAGCTGGGAGCTGCCCTGGGGCCGCTGCCACGGACAGAACGGGGCTCCCTCTGCCAGGCAGCTGGAGGCAAAAGGGAAAAGACTCGGAGTTAAATAATTAAAAGAGACTTAAGGAAAAGTAAACAGAAATGTCATCAAATGAGGGGTGTCATTCTGAATTAGTGCTGGTAAAGGTCAGGCAGCTCCAAACAGGTGCCGCGGTGAGGCACTGCGCCCGGCCGGCAGAGCGTGCTGCAGGGAGTGCAGCGGGACAGGGATGGGGACAGTGGGGTCCCACGTCCCATGGGAGGGACAGGAGTCCATGGTGGCCGGTCAGGGTCTGTCAGTGTCCAGTCAGAACACATTAACGTGCTGACATGATTCTAATTAACTACTGTGAGAGGTGTCACAGCTGGAAAAGCAGTGAGCGGAGACGAGCTTTTAAAAAAAGAAAAAAGCAATGTGACAGTCCTGTTTTTTTTTCCCCTTTCTTTTTCTTTCTTTTTCTTTCCTTTTTTTTTTTTTTTTTTTTTTTTTTTTACTCTTGTGTGCTCTCTCCCCTCCATGTGGGAGTGGATCTAAAGATAATTAGGATGTCTGGCTGCCTGGGAACCTGAGCCAGGGCTCTTTTGCTTTCAGTCATTTAAGTTTTCGACATCTCTCTGAAGGGACTTGGTGGCGCAGTGGATTACTGCGCGCCAGAGTGACAGAACACTCTTCTAATCGTAAACCCTTTTTAGAAAAGATTCTGCTCTCCCTTTTTCCCCAGGAGCAGCGGGGGGTATGTTCTGATCACTGCAGCTCTGTTCCCATACATGCTACAATGGGAAACTCAAGGTCTTTCAGCTGTTTCCTGCAGTTAACAAAGGAGGCACAGAAGAAAGAAAGGAAGGATGATTGAGTGTTTGTGTTGACTGCAGTCACCCCTCCGTCCTACCCAGCCCAAAGTCGATGGCGCACGGGGGCACGGCGCACTGCTGGCCCTGCTGTGCTGGGGATGTTGCTGCAGCTGTCCCGGCGTTCTGGTGGAGGTGAGATAGTTACAGGGCTGTGGCTGCTCAGGACAAGCCCTGTTGCAGTGCTGTGTGATGTGATGCCATGCTCTGCAGTGCCGTGCTCTGCCGTCCCATGCCAAACCATTGCTGGCACACTGGGAGTGCAGGAGGGACTGGTGAGGGCGTGTTTTAGGGATGCTCTGTGTTACAAACCAGCCAGTCCCAACAGCAGGAGCTTGCAGGCCTGAATTAACCTGCACTACAGAGAGCCCTGTGCGCTGGCTCGGCCCCTGTGCACTGTGTGTGTTGGCTGTCTGTCTGTCCTGCAGAACATTCCTCCTGTAGTCACTTGTTCTGAAACAAGCAGCATTTGGTGCATCGTGCTGCAGCCTCACGCACTGGAAGACACGTGGTAGGTGAGAGGCCTGGGAAGACCATTAACTTTCCAGAGAGCCTTTTCTGTAGAAAGTAGAAATGTAAAACACTGAGTGACATTTTGATTTCCCCATGGATTCTTTGGTGCCTTAGTGTCTCCCTGCGACATGTCCCAGACGAGGCTTGTCCTCTCCTACCTGTGAGAGGGGAAGAGTTTCCTGTTAATGAACATAAACGTCTCAATTAATAGCATGGAAATGTCTTTGAATTTCAAGCCACATGTCCCTGACCCGCAGTTGGGGACCGGGTGGTACAGCTTGCCCTGGGATGGTCCTTACTTGGTGGCTCTCTGGTCTGCAGCACCCTCCTTGCTATTCCCTTGGGCTGCCAGGATGGAGGGTGACTCAGGAACACCTCCTGATCCTGAGGGCAGTGAACACAGCT